TATATATATATATATATATATATATAAATTTACTTATTAAATATATTTAAAAATAAACCATTATATTAATAAACATACTTTCTCTTATCCTTAAAATTTTCTTATACGTAATTATTATAAGAAATAAAAATTATAGAAATTATTTTATGAACTTTATTTATTAATCTGCAGTTTATGTATATAGATCCACCAACACCAATACAAGAAATAATAGAAAATATTGTGAAAGTGCATCCGAATGGAGAGCCAACATTTGAGAGTTTAGGATTAGGTGGTTGGACTCCAACAGGGATTGTACACAATTTCTTAGAATTTATGCACATAAATTTAGATATGCCATGGTGGTTGGCAATTGTTATAAGTACTAGTTTTTTTTATCACAAGATGATTATTGATTTAATAAAAATTCTAAAATTATTAGCACAAATGTAATTGTTTTGTTACAGCTACTATTTGTGCAAGGAGTCTTCTATTTCCCTTAGTGATAAAAGCGCAAAAGAATATGATTCGACTTACAAATCATATGCCAGTAATACAAGACTACCATATGAGATTGACAGAAGCCAGGAATTGCGGCGATCATTTGCAAAGTACGATATGTTAGAAATATTTTGTATTGACGAAATTTTGTTTTGATAAAACATTATATGTTTGCCGATCTCACTATAAAGAAAGTACTAATTGCTCTCTTCTGAATAGGTGCACAAATAGCGACAGAGATGATGAAATACATGAAAACGAACAAAGTTAGTTTTGTACAGAACATGATGATGCCATTAATACAGGTATACAATACGCATTTATATGCAAAAAGTGCAAAAAAAGATTATTTCCTAATTATAATTTTAATGTTTCAGGCACCAGTGTTCATCTCCTTCTTCTTTGCATTGAGAAAAATGGCAAACTTGCCTGTGGAGAGCTTAAAAGACGGTGGCTTTTTGTGGCTAAAGGATCTTACAGTACATGATCCTTATTATATAATGCCGATAATTACCAGTGTAACAATGTTTATCACAATCGAACTCGGCACGGATGGCACTAATATCCATGCGATGGGTCTAATGCGATATGTTTTACGAGCTTTGCCATTCATTGTATTACCGTTTATGTTGCATTTCCCTGGTGTAAGTAATAATAATATCGATATTTCTGTTATTGATATGAGAAGAATTAATGAAGACACTTGTACATCATGAAATATTTAATTTACACGCAAATAATAACTTTCATATTTGATGTACTCTTTCTCTGAATTTTCTTCATCACATTTATCTATATTTGTAGACTATTTTGACATATTGGGTAGCAACAAACACTATCTCTCTGGTACAAACTAGTTTTCTAAAAATCCCACGTATAAAAAAAGCCCTCGGTATGCCTACCATGATAAAACGTGATACTCCAAAAGTGTCCACCAAAAGCGGCAAAGGTTTCATTAATGAAGTGAAGGAATGTGAGTATTGCTCAATATATGTATCAAACATTATTATTATTATTGTTATTATTATTATTATTATTATTATTATTATTATTATTATTATTAACTTTATTAAATGCACTGTTAACAAAAGATAGAATTATTTTGTATCACGTATTAGTTACACTATAACAAGCCGGACAGTTGAGCTGATTTGAAGCCGTATATTAGAATAAGTGAATTATAAAAAAAATTCAAAACAATTAATATTACAATTAATACGCAAATTACTATAAGAACACTAGTAGAAAGAAACGTTATATTATAACATAATATACATTACTCATAGAAAACAACAAG